TCTCTCTCTCTCTCTCTCTCTCTCTCTCTTTCCTTCCTTCCTTCCTTCCTTCCTTTCTCTCTCTCTTTTTCTTTCTTTCTCTCTCTCTTTCTCTTTTTCTTTCTCTCTCTTTCTTCCTCTTTCTTTTTTCTCTTTCTCTTTTTTCTTTCTCTTTCTCTCTTTTTCTTTCTCTTTCTCTCTTTCTTTTTCTCTTTCTCTTTTTCTCTTTCTTTCTCTCTCTCTCTCTTTCTTTCTTTCTTTCTTTCTTTCTTTCTTTCTTTCTTTCTTTTTTCTCTCTCTCTTTCTCTCTCTTTTTCTTTCTCAAGAGGCAACTGAAATTTCTTGGTTTTTCCTTGAAGACGTTTCGCTTCTCATCCAAGAAGCTTCTTCGGTTCTTCTTCTTCAGAACTGAAGAAGCTGCTTGGATGAGAAGCAAAACCTTTTCCAAGGAATCTCCATGGAGATTCTCAGTCCTCCAGGCCACGGCTGTCGCAAAGGAGCTTTTTTTCAAGAGGCACCTGGACTTTCTTGGTGTTTCCTTTTTCTCCTCCCACCTAACATCTTGGAAGTAACATTTTATTAAATGTTCAGTGCATTTGACAATGTCTGAGTCAGAAGCGGGTACAAAGCACACAATCCTGCAAGAGGGAAGATAGGAGCAGTGAGAAAGAAAGGAGAATTCATATTTTCAAGGTATTTTAGGATTCTAAAATTGTAGTTCGAGACAAAGGGTTTTTTTTTTTTGCATCTGGTTCCATCATATATTGGAAGCGCTTGGGTACGATGAAAGCAAACATTTGGTGAGTCTTCCACTCTTCCTATTTTTCAGTAATCCTTTCTCACAATTACTGGCTAATAATGCAAGTATTTTTTTTTTAAAAAAGAAAACCACCCACAAAGCAAACCGTATTTGCATGCAGCACACAGCTCCGGAAATGAAGAAGTTTCTTGGATGGAAAATGAGATATCTTCAAGGAAAACAAAGGAAAACCAGTTACCTTTTGAAAAAAACCACCTTTGGGGCATGTTCTCTTAAGGGACTTCCTTGGCCTAATGTCCTGTGTGCTTGTTCTGCCTTCAGCAACACCGAACAAACCTAGGTTAACTAAAGAACCACACTTTACTAATGGTAAAATTGAGGGTCAATTCTAACGTGCAGGGAGAGATATAACCAGTCTCAAGTTTTCTTATTTTGTCCATCCTTCATATCACTTGTTCACAGGAAATTAGAGGAGAACTTGGTGTCCTAGGGATTTGTGCAAATTGTTGTGCCAAGGGTTCCTTTGTCCAAAAGTTTTGAATCAGGCAGGGTTCATCCAGATATCAACCCGCCCCCAAAGCGACAAATTTTGAAATCCATCAATATTCTGGAAATGACTTTAAATGATCCTTCATAAAGAAGGCCTCAGATGCTATGAAGGGGTTGCCCCATATAAACATGGTGAAGAGTATATAAACACAACACCAGGCATACCGAGGGAATAAGACCATTTGTTTATTTAATAATTACCCTTCCTGTCATAGTTGGACAGTGTTAGGGTTTGCAGCAGAAATTCAAGTCCAGAAAACACACATTGATTCAACAGGATCATTCACTTCTTTATAAACATATGAGTAAAGTTTACAATACCATTTGTAGATTCTTTCAATGTAATATAACGCAAGCTGCAGCTCAGAGCAGAGCTCAGTTTCACCAAGCAAGCAAGTCAAGTTTCTCTTTCACTTCTCAGCAAAGCACACAGAGCCAAACCACACCCAGGCTGTCAGCTCCCATTGGCTAGTCTGTGGCCATGCTGACTTTGTTAACCATGTCTCTGCCAGTTCATGAATATACTCTGACAGACAGCAATAAATGGAGCTTCTAGCCCTCTGTGAAGAACGAACGGTGGTCCAGTTCCAGAATTTTTCTCACGGGGGTAGGAGAAGACCCCTACTATGCATTGCTGGCCTTAGTGAACATAAAGGGCCAGGTCAGTGTAGGTACAGGAATTCCTTCAGCCTATAGACCGCTGTTTCGGAACCATGGCAACTTTAAGGCATGTGGACTTCAACTCCCAGAATTCATGGTTGGCTGAGAATTCTGGGAGTTGAAGTCCACGTGTCTTAAAGTTGCCAAGGTTCAAAAACGCCACTCTGTAGGACCTGAAGTTCTCCTGCATTCCTCTGGCGGGTGAGGACAACACTGTCAGCCTTGAGGCACTCAGAACTAATTTCCTTCCATTGAAAGACCAGGCAGAAACTTGGTCAAGACTCAACCACGGAGAAGATCCGAAACCCAGAAGAAAAGTACCATGGGAAACGATTGTGACTTTATGTAGAAGATCTACCATCTACCCTCCTTGGGCTACTCTGTTGATTCATGGCTTTCACTGCCACGAGCAGCAAAGGGTTGG